ATCGTCCAGCACCAGCTTCAAGACCAAATAACCACATCAATGGCTGGCACAGCACATGACATTGGTGCAATAGTGGCACTTTTATCTTGGGGCCAATCAATAGGTATGTAAATGAGCTAAAAGCCCACTCAGTGGGAAAAAACTCAACTGTGGTACTTTAAACATACCCAAATACACATAGCTGGAGAAGCCATGTATCTTAGAGAAAACCCCAAGACTGTAATGTCCCCTAGACTAATGTAATTTCTTGCTGTGTGCAAAATATGTATCCTCATATTTACAGACAAATATTCCAGTCACCATTTGTCAAAGAAGCTTATTTTGACCATTATCAAGTAACACAACTGATCACACACAGACATTGTCTATGAGTTGCCCAGGCCTAAGCAACACATCTAAAAATACAATCTCTACATCTAAGGCACATGGAACATAGAACATAAGACACTAATGAGAATCTCTCAATTCTCATTAATGAAGCTCCCTCATGCAACATAGGGACAGGAACACTAAAGGCCACAAACGGCCAAAATGTAGAGATTAAGAGTCTGCAGATTGCAGACTCGTATATTAAACTTCACCCACCAAGGGCTCAGGGACCATCATGGAAGAGGGGGCAGAAAGATTTTAAGAGCTAGGGAGAAAGTGCACAACCATATGGAAACAGGGGCCTACAAGCTCCTGGGACTCTGCTCATATGGTGTCAGCATACACAAGTCCCATGCAAACTCAGGCAAACAAAGACCCAGCATAGATTTGGGAAAAATCAACAGCAGATCCCAGTCTTAGCTGAAGAAATATTGGCAACTGATTGCTGCTAGGTGAAGAGCTGATCTTCCTAAAACAAGGGACTATAAATTGGCTGACTAGACCTCAGTGGATGGACTGGCACTGGGGAACATCTAGGGACACTGACTTGATATAGTAGAGTATATGGTTCCAGTGATTGGGTTGTGGGAATGTCCTAGTGGGATGGCGCTATAAAGATGGTTAACATTCTTTGAGCTATTCTGTATAAAATACACAAAAATTCAATAAAAACAAATTAAAAAAATATTTTTACCTCTTCCTTGAAAGAGTGGAGAGGGGGAAATTGTTGGATTGGGGCCACTACTCTAACTTCCATTAACCTTGTCATTTGTCCTTTATGCTTAAATTTGGTGCCACACAGGGTAGCGCATAATTTTTTCCTAGTTTTATATGCATATATTGATTTTTAATCCTGAATATGGTTTACAGTTTTTGTAGGTGCTTAGTTTTGTTTCAGGCATATAAATTGTGGGCAGAAATCTAAGGGTGTGTTAGGTCACTAACTTGGAGCATAAAGCACTTTCTTCAGTCATCTTCTACCTTTTTTTTATAGATGATGATATTTAAATAACCAAAACATACTAGGTGTTGATTACTTCTTTCTTGTTTGCTTTTGGAGGCAAATTCTGTGTGTGTAACTTTGGTTAGCCTGGAATTTGCTATGTACTTGCTAAATAGAACAGGCTAGCCTTGATGTTTTGGCAATCGCCTTGTCTCTGCCTCCGGTTTCTAGAATTATGGACATGTGCTACTATACCTGATTTCTCTCAGAGGCCATTTCCTATTTATCTGTGTGATGAGTAAGATTAGTTCCACTTAATACTCAATATATGAAAGCAGGCATTTTATTTAATTTTTGAATGATTTTATTTTCCATGAACCATAGGTGTTGAGGTTGCATTGTAGATGTGTCACTTAGGCCTGTGCAATTCATAGACAATATCTCTGTGTCACCAGTTATGGTACTTGGTAATTGTCTCCAATTGGTGCAAAATGATCTTTTTTGATGAGTGGTGACTGGAATATTTGTCTGTAAATGTAAGGATACATATTTTGCAAAGCATACAGAAGTCCCATGCAAACTCAGGCAAAGACCCAGCACAGAAATGTGAAAATGAACAGCAGACCCCAATCTTATCTGAAGAAATACTGGCAACTGATTGCTGCTAGGTGAGGAAGAGCTGATCTTCCTAAAACAAGGGACTCTAGATGGGCTGACTAGACCTCAGTGGATGGGCTTGCCCTGGGGAATGTCTGGGGACACTGACTTGACACAGTGGGCCTTAAGAGGGATGACAGACTATATGGGGTCTGGTGGGGGGCTATGGGAGGGTGCCAGTGGGGACGGGGTATAAAGATGATTAAGATTGATTGCAATATTCTGTATGAAATACACAAAAATTCAATAAAAACAAACTTAAAAAGTATTTTATTTATTGTAATTTTATGTCTATCAGTGTTTTGCCTACATGTATTTAAGTGCATCATGTGCCTGTTGTGCCCATGGAGGCTAGAAGGCCTGCAATCCCCTGGAACTGAAATTAGAGTCATGTGTTAGCTGCTATGTGTGTGGTAGGAACCAAAAGGGGGCCTGTGGAATAGCAAAAATTGCTCTTAACCACTGAGCCATTTCTTCAGCCATTTATTTATTTTTATTTATTTTTTATTGAGATTGCCATGTCATATAGCCTTAGCTAGCCTAGAATTCTCTGTTGTTCTACCTTAGTCTCCCTAGTACTGGAATTACAGATGTGTACCACCATGCCTGTCTAAAAGTAAGCATTTTAAATATATTGCTAATTATAATTAACATGATGTTAATTATATTGTCATAATTAGATATGCTGACAAACTTCATTTCACACCTTGAGGTTTTTTTTTCCACCCTTGTCCCATGCCAACCATCACCATGTAAATAATTTCCATTTCCCCTCATTTTCCTGTACTTTGTAGTGTTGCGTAACTAACTCTGGGCTACACTGCAGCTTCACCTGCCTCTGCCACATTTTCCCTCACACCAAGCTTGCTATAGCTGCCGTCTGCTGTTTCCCAAGCTGCAGTTTCCTTCTCAGTTGTGGGTGAAACTCAACGTTGGATGATTCTTTTCCACATAGCTCAGCACTGATCTTTGATCCTGCAGCATTTTTTTTTTTTTGCCAACAATCTCACAAGCGTATATTGAACATCATTGGCACCAATCTCAGACTTTATTTCAACGAATACAGATGAAACAGCTGTTTTGCTGTCCAGCTCATGACTCATGTGTTCACTATAGAATGATAATGTTTTCCCTCTTTCTCTAACTATAATTCTAATCTTCTGTGTTTTCAAAATACACTGTAATTATCATTTCATCAGGCAAAATGTAGAGAATTCTCATAATTTATTAAAAAATTGAACTCTCTCTCTCAGGGCCTGAGAGATGGCTCAGCAATTAAGAGCACTGACTACTCTTGCAGAGGACCCAGATTTGATTCCCAGTACCCACATGGTGGCTACAAACTGTCCTTAACTCCAGTTCAAGGGGAATCCGAAGCCCTCTTCTGACCTCCGTGGCCAGGTGCACTCACATACATGCAGGCAATATACTCATACACATAAAATAAAAATAATAAATACAATATTAAAAAATTGAACTCTCCATATGAGCAACTAATAGTCCCCTCTCCAGTAACTTTGTTTCCTAGGTCTTATAATTTTCTGCAGGAATGTCAGCTTTAATTTGGTCTCCCATTATTATGCTCATATTTCTCATTACAACTTACATTAAACTTACAGCCTCTTAATGTTTTCACGTTGAATCATCCACACTCATCTGAAAATATTAAATAGGAAATCTCAGAAATAAGTAATTCATAAGTTTTAAATGCTTTTTATTGCAATATATTGTTATAATTGTCATATTTTACTGCTTTTGTAAATCTCTTATAGTTATTAAATTATAGGACTGGAGAGATGGTTCAGTGGTTAAGAGCACTGGTTGCTTTTGCAGAGGACCAAGATTCAGGTCAAAGCCCCTACATGGTAGCTAACAATCTACTGTAGCTTCAGTTCCAGGGTCTCCAACGCCCTCTTCTGTCCTTCACAGGCATTACACAACAGGAATGCACTAACATACATGCAAGCAATACACTCATACACATAAAACAAAAATAATAAATAAAATAATTTAAAAAATAATAATTAGGACTGGAGAGATGGCTCAGCAGTTAAGAGCATTGAATGCCCTTGGAGAGGATCTGAGTTCAATTCCCAGCACCCACATGGCAGCTAAGAACTGTCTGAAACTCCCAGTTCCAGGGATCTAATGCCATCTTCTGACTTCTGTAGGCACTGCACAAAACAGGTGCACTGACACACATGCAGGCAGTACACTCATAAAATAAAAATTATAAATAAAATATTTTGAAAATTATTATTAAATTATGCTGGGTGTGGTGGTACATTAATCCCAGCACTCAGGAGGCAGAGGTAGATGGATCTCTGTGAGATCAAGGCCAGCCTGGTCTACATAGTGAGTTCAATGCCAGCTTTGACTACAGGATGACCCTGTCTCAAGACCAAAAGAAAAAAATTGTTACATTATATATAAATTAAACTGTGCTGTATGCATTGTATGTATAGAAAAAAAAACAATTGTCTCTTTGTCAGTATCTGTGAGGGATTGTTGGCTCTAGGAACTACAGTCTGTGGGTGTTTGACTTCCTTATATACGATGACATAGTATTTCTATCCAACCTATTCACATCTTGCTATATGCTTAAGTCATCACTAGGTTACTTATAATACCTAATGCATATTAAAGCTGCATCGAGAGTTGTTCTACTACATAGTGTATAAATAAGGAAAAGAGAAGGATGTGTCTGTGTTCAGTATAGTTGTGTTTTCCTCACCCTGAGTATGCTTGATCGACTGTTGACTGAGTTCATAGATACACAACCTACAGTTAGGAATATCAACTGATATAAAGATTTGGTATTACCCAGAAGTGTCAGGAAATCCACTAGGAATATTGCAACATGTTACCTGAGTGTAGGTGGGGTCTACTTACATGTGAGGGCAGAAAGAGATTATGCGGTTTAAAATAAAGCCTGAACCCCAGCTTATAAAATGCTGTGTGTAGTGATGCCGTGTTTGTCCTTCATTGCCTCACAAAGATGGCAATTCAGTTTTTATTTTGTTTCTTTCAGCAGGCTGTGGTAGCTGTCCCTCCTCTTGTTCCTTCAGTTAACAAAAGGAGAGAGGATGAGCTGTCTGTTGGAAGTGCCCCCGTGGCAAAGCAGCAGTCATATCAGGCCTCGGAATATGCCAGCAGCCCTATAAAAACAAAGACAGTAACAGGTATGGATCTAGAATAAATTCATCAGCTAGTTGAGAATTAGTTTACTTTTTGTTGTTCTTTTCCATGTTTCTCTAAGAAGTTAATATTAATGTTTGAGAGAAGAAAATAATAAAAACTAAAAACACAATTTGCCATTATACTTATTAATATTTTTTGTAATATAAAAAACAATAGCACATTGATTTTTTTTCTTCAGATTATTGGCATGTACTGTGTAGTTTTTGCCCCAGAGTTTTCTGCTTTTGTTTCTATCTTTAGAAACCTCATATTTCCTATAAATATTTTAAAAATATTTTATTTTTATTTTATGTGTATGTATGTATTACCTACATGTATATAAATGCACCCGTGTTGTGCAGTGCCCATGGAGGTCAGAACAGGGCATCAGATCTCCTGGAATTGGAGTCACAGATGGCTGTTAGCTGTCATGTGTTTTGGGAAATGAACCTGGGTCCTCTGCAAGAGCAGGTAGTGCTTTAGCCTCTGCACCATCTTCTACAGCTCCTTGTACTTAATTTTTAAAAACTCTTGTTCACTTGTTTTTTTAGCTCATTTTAAAAAGTGTCTGTAGAGTTCTAAATCAGAAGGTAATAGTTATTTTAATACTAGGAAATTTCTTCTTTTTGAAGTAATAATTCTTTTGAAAAACATTTGCGTTGGCTACTATTTGTACTACTTTCCTTTTCCCTCTTAAAAACATGTTTGCAAACAAATGAAAGATAGGTATGGAGCTGCAGAGAGAGACAGAGACAGAGACAGACAGAGATAGGAAGAGAGAGATACATGGATAGAAAGATGGATACATAGATGATGGATAAATAGCGAGATTGATAGAGAAATAGGAAGATAGAGGTAGATAGGAAGATGATAGATAGATAGATAGATAGATAGATAGATAGATAGAAGATAGAGTGGAGAGGAGCAAGACAAAGAGGAAAGCAACAACAACCCTAAAGGCTGTTTCTTGGTTTTCTTGGAGAAATTTAAGATAGGCTTGCATCTGATCAAAAAGAATCACAAAATACTAGAATGAAAAGCAAATAAAGAAAACACAGGCTGCCTGAAAAGCTGGTGTGATAGAATAGTAATCTTCAGATTTTTCTTTGCGTGTTTTGTCAGTAATTTTTTCAGTATATCTTCAAACTATAACATTCATTAATTCATACTTTATGTTACTTTATAAAGCTTACTAAATAATTTAAATTTATTGACATTTAAATTTTGTTATCCTGATAGAATTTTAGTGTTACTTCAATAACGTTATAAGATTTTAAAAAATATTTTAAAATTAAAAAAATTTATTTTATGTGTATGAGTGTACTGCCTACATGTATGTAAGTATACCCTTGTTGTCCAGCACCCATGGAAGTCAGAAGAGGGTATCAGATACCCTGGAACTGGAATTACAGAAGGTTGTTAGCTGCCATGTGGATGCTGGGAATCGAACCTGGGTCCTCTGCAAGAGGAGGTAGTGCTCTTAACCACTGAGCCACCTTTCTAGCCCCTATTTTAAAATATTTTGTTAAAACAACTTAAAATTTTTACTTTTTATTCAGTTTTTCTCAGTTGTTTTATTGGCCGCTACCTCACTAAGAAATTTAGATCCAAGAAGTGAAATATGTGTCATTGAACTCAGGATACTTATTATTGGTTTAATCAATTACATTTCAAAAAGTTTTATTGATATCAGGCTAATGAATTTCTGTCTTCTAATGTAAAGCATTTATTCCAGTCTTCATTCTTCCTTCAGCATATTGACAACACATCCCTGGGGGCATGTTTTCTCATGTCAAATCCAGAGCCTAATGATCTGGCTTTCTCCCTAGCCAGTTTGTGTTGAGGACCCCTGCCTGTCCTTCAGAGGCTATAGTTACAAGATGGCTGCTGCACCCAGTGAGCATTGATGTGGGTTTTTTTTTTTTTTATTTTTACTAAAGTTTTTTTATTCTTATTCTTTTATGAAGTTAGTTAAATATTAATGAACAAGAAATTAAAGAGACTGCGCTGCAATTAAGTTAGAATATTCTAACTGAAAAACAATTACTGTGAAACTATTTACATTCTCATAGAATTATAAACATTTCTCAAGGAATACTTTACAGCACAACTTTTTTTTTTCATACAGAAGAATTCATTCCAAAGCAATTGACATTGAGACGTTTTCACATGCATTTCTAATCTCTATATACATGACTATCACTGGTCACAGTCGCCCACCTTCTGAGCTCCTCGGCATCTGAGCATGAATACAAACTCGTCAGATAGACAGCCTTCCTCTCCCACTAGAGGCTCCATACTCAGCCATCCCTGTCACTGTCCACTGTGTTGTCAGCACCCTCATCCATTCCCCCCTGTCTGCCCTTCTGGTAAATCTAGTCAGCAGTGAAGAAAAATAATTATCAAGGCTGTAGTGATCATATGAAACCTTGGCTGTATCTTTATCCCAAATTGATTTGTTGTAAGGCTCAGTAAAAGCTAAAATGTAAACACAGCTCAGCAATGGTCAGGGGATATGGTGGGCATGCTTTAAATGGGAGAGATGCTGAGTTCTTTTCCCCTGTGGTGTTTGGAAAGGTTCCTGTCCTCTCCTTTCCATTTTAAATGTGAGTGCATTTATTCTCTCTCATTTCTTCACATTTCCAGCTTTTTATTTTTATTTTTTATAAAAGTAGTGGTGCCCAGAACAGAAGCGTTAATCTATTGGTAGCCTGATGTGGGGCAATTAATTAAAGCTTTAAGTTAGGATCAATTTCTCAAAACCCCACACTCGGTAATGGGCTCTAAAGCTGCCCATTCGAAAGGGAAGAAAAAAGGTACATACCTAGCGTCTGGTTATAATTTGGTGCCATCACAATAAGGCAATAATAATTCTAGTTGAGGATTGATAAGGGCCCCTTCTGGTGAATGCCTCATTTTCCTTCTGTTGATCAGAAGCCTGATGGCAAATTTTTTAAATGACTTGGAAGACACAGCATTATACTGAGTATGATAGTCTCCCTTTTCTGACAATTTCCAAAGTTAGTATATCAGTATTTTCTTTTCTGACCACAGGATGCAATGTATTTATTGTTCTCAGACTTGTCCTACCTGTCACTCTGGTTATGCTTGAGACTTGAGGTCTGAGAAGTTCATTCCCAGTACAGTTAGAGTTAGCCAGGCTGTAAAACAAAGAGGTAGAAACCCTGCCTCAGGAGGGGATGCCAAGGCAGGGATTTAGATTCAGTGAAGATTTTCAACTCAAACACAATGGGAATAAAATAGGTTTGGGAAAGATGGAGTCACTAACATTGTATAGACTATGAAGGGAGCATTCTGTTCACGAAGTTTCCAGATTTGGGAGCGATTCCAGATGAGCTACTTAAAAACAGTTTTCAAAAATTTAAGCTTTGGGCAAGCCTTGTTATTCTACCAGAGATGTGTCTTAAGTTTGTCTCCCCCTCTGTGTGTCTCAGAGTTTCAGGGCACCGTTCCCTGTGTTGGTACTCAGATGCTGCTGCTTTCGTGACATTGTCTTACTGTGCTCCTTGGAGGGGCACAAGGTCTCACAATTAGTAGAAGTTGCCAAATCTGCTAACCAAAGTAAATCTTCAGGAAATCTTAGGTATATGTCTTCCTTAATTAGTTGAGTGCCTGTTCATCTATGATTGGATACATCACAGATGTATACCCACAGAACAGAGGAGAAGCAGAAGGATATATGAAGGATCACCTAACTCACCAGAAGGGAAAGTAGCTGAAAAAACACTAATTATACCGTGGATAGATACATTAATGTTTGTATTACTTGAACCTGGGTAATTCAATAAACAAATGAGTTTTATTTTGGTCCATGGTTCTGTGGTTCAGTTCTGAGGTTGAGCATCAAATTTGCTGATTACTTTCCTGCTTGCAGAGTCCCATTCAGTCTCTAGGGCATCACAGCAGAATCAGGAAGTTTGTGTGTGTCATGTTCTCTTTGTAATACCACCAGCACTGAATAAAGGGGACTCCAGCCTGATGACTTTTTCTAACCCTAATCAAGATCTTCAACAGAATTGTGGGAGTGCCTTAAAATTTTTAAAATTACATTTGAATTATTTATTTTGTGTGCATGTGTATATAGGGCATGGGTGCCACTTCCACAATAAGCTTGTGGAGGTCAAAGGACGACTTGGAGGAGTTGAATTCAGGTCTTCAAGTTTGGAATAGAGTGCCTTTACCTACTTAGTTATCTTACCAGCCTAATAAATTTTGTTTTGAAAAGCACTTTGTGAGCTACTTCTATTTTTTTTATTATAACACTTATTTATTTATTTACTTATTTATGAGGGGGATAACAAGCGCTTTAACCATTCAGCCTTCTCTGTAGCCTTGAGAGTTAGCACCTTTTTATCTGTGGCTTTCTGACATAGTGAAGGACTCCAGTATCAGTATATATCATTAAATATTAATAAACTGTATTTTCTCATATTATTTAAGCTATAGAGAGATACTTCGGTAAATTCCCCAGTCCTGTTTGTGTTTTTTTGTTTGTTTTCATTTGCATTCCACATTTTTGAAGGTGGTTTCCAATATTACTACCTGCATTTTACAGTTACTGAGAATAAGCTTCTAAATAGTTACACATGTCCTGTGGAGGCCTAGTTAAAAGTATCCTGTGGATCAGTTCACTGTTGATTGGCAACCAACTTGTATGCAGTGCTTTGACTATATACACATGGGCAGCAAGAAACAATATTAGCCTATGCTCAGGAATCTTGTTTTTCATGCATATGAACTGCAGATATGAGACCCTGAAATCAGGATTGTATAAGAAAGCAGACTGAGTACAGGCTATAAGAGCAGGCCGGTAAGCAGCTTCGGGGGTCTATGCTTTAGTTTCTGACACCAGGTCCCTGACTGAGCTCCTACCTTGGCTTCCTTCAGTAAAGGACTGTACTATAAGTTGAAATAAACCCTTTCCTCCCCAATTGTCTTTAGTCGCTATGTTTATCACAGCAATAGAAAGCAAACCAGGGCA